AGCACATTTATAACACAGGAGAGGACATATGCTGTATTTCCCCCGCCCAGATGGAAAAAGCAAGGGATTACAGCAACCAAATAAAGGACTTAAAGTATCTCCTCTCTATCAAGCATTTCGCTGATAGAGATATAGAAAACCCTTTGAACTTTCCTGAAGACCAATGTTTTTTAACAGTCATCAGAACCGGATGGGGGCTCGTCAAGCATGGGTAATGCTTAATGAAGCAATAACATCTTAAAATGTCCCATCGCCATTGTGATTGCAAAAAAATCCTAAATTAAAAAACTGAAACAATTTTGTGCTGGGAGGGTCCCTGTTTTTGTTCATCCCTCTATAGAGCATTAAAGTTTACTTTCCCGTGGGATATAGGCGGTCTCTCCCAAAATGGCACCATCAAGACTGAGATGGGCACCGGTTGATGGGGGAGGCTGTTGGCATCCTGACCCCGTCCATGTTTAATTCAGGTAAGCAACCCTAATTGGTTTGATAATGTCTCTCTGGTTAGCTACTTTGAATGTCTGAGGCCTGAGGTCCGAGTCTCACAGGGAGAGATTCTATCATGACCTTCAGCATCTCGGGGTGGATGTATGTTGTGTGCAAGAGACCCATTTTTCTTCTCGCGATCATGAGAGCATTCTGTCTAAGGGGTTTTCCCTCTATTCAGCATGGACGCTGGTGAGCAAGTCTTTGAAGGCTGCGTGTGCTCTTGTTTTTGCAGATATGGCGGGCAGATTTTGTGTGCTAGATGTTACCATAAAGGATAAGGCTCTACGTCTCATTGGGGTTTATGTGCACAATAAGCATTTTCAGCGGCCTGCTTTGTTTTGGCAGATCGAGCCGTTCTTGACGTCATTTCGTCAGGTTGTTTTAGCGGGGGATTGGAATGCTGTCCTTGACACTGATATAGATTGTATAGGGTCAAATTTGGGTACTAACAACTGGGACGTGAAACCATTTTGGGACTTTATCGACAAGTTTGATCTTGTTGATAAGTACCAAAATGAACATCCTGGCGGCTCAGGTATTGAGGTGTGTTCTAGCTACCTCAATCGAGTCTTAGCCAGGAGAGTCGATGTAGGGCTCTTAGGATGTCCAAGTTTCCATTATATAGTTTATTCAGATCATAGGCTAGTCCGGGTCCGTGTAAACTTAGATAAGCCTAAGGTTAAGATGGTTGGTTACTGGAAATTGAACTGCTCATTATTTGGGGAGCAAGATTTCTGGGACCAGCTGCTACTAATGATACAGAGGGAACTGACAGGGCCTGTGGTGGAAAAAGCTTGGTGGAATAAACTTAAATCTAAAATTAGAACGTTTGCTTCTAATTATAGTCGTTGGCTCAATCTAGATAGATTAGTGGCGTAAATGGCTTGTGAGCAAAAAGTTGATTGGGCGATTAAATCCCGTGATAGTCGGGACGTAGCTTTAGCTAAGACAGAGTTGGCCTCCTTGCTTATCAAGAAGGATCAAGCTCTGGTAGTTAGGGCTAGATTAAAAAGAATGTCTTCTGAGGCAATGAATATGGCTGCTGAACTGCATGCAGAGGAGGTTTGGAGTGCATCTCGGCGACATATTGCATGCGTCACATTGCCATATAAGTGGACCACAACTACAAACGAGGGCATATGTGAGGCTTTTTGTGAGTACTTTCAGGAACTTTTCACCAGGGAGCTTGGTCTGAGCCCTGCTCAGTTCCATGCCTATTTAGCTGACTTTCCCTCCCTTGAGGCAGCCGAATCGGCTAGTTGTGAGGATCCCATTACAGAGTCGGAAATCTGGGAATTGCTGAAACAGGTTGGCCTGGACAAATCTCCGGGATTAATGGTCTTCTGTACAAAGTGTACTTGAGGCAGTTGCCTGTTTTTGTTCCCTTGCTGGCACTGGTTTTTGGCACCTGGATGAAGCAGGGGTCTATACCCCAGCGCTTCACCAGGGGTGTAATCAAGTTGTCACGTAAGGACAAAAACGGTGGCGATGGGTTAGGTAACTTTTCACCCTTTTTAACTCTGTGTTTAACATAAATTTTGACTAAGGTCTTAGCAAACTGTTTGCAGGCTGTCCTCTCTAGTCTGATTGGCTCTGAACAGTCTTGTGCTGCGACGGGCAGGACTATTCAGGACAACATTCCTATGGTATGCTTGATCATCGAGCAAGTTGACAGTGAAGCCACGCTGAACAATTTAGATCAGTACAAGGAATTTGATAGGGTGGACCATCAATTTCTCGAGGCTGTTCTTTCGGCGGCTGGTTACGGGCCGTATTTTTGCACCTGGATCCAACTTCTGTATGTGACCCCCAGTGTGCTGGTGGAGGTGAATGGAGTATGATCAGAGTTTTTCATATTGTCTCGCTCCATTCATCAAGGTTGTCCGCTTTTGCCTTTTGCTTTTACGTTCTTGTGTTGGAACCTTTCCTTCACAAGTTAAAGACGAATCCTGGTCCTACGTGGAATTTCCCTATCTGGTGCTACCACCTCAGCCAGATATTCTGCCTATGCTGATATTTCAGTTCTTGTGTTGAGCAGAGCTGAGATTGATGAAGTCAGCAAAGAAATGGGTAGTTATGAGATGGTGACAGGGGCCAAGATCAACTGCGATAAGTCTGTTGGCTTGCAGTTGGGTGCATGGAAGGGAGTTTCTCTTCCCGGACCTTTCCTCTGGACTGGTCAAGATTCTCGGCGTCTGGTTTAGTCCTGATCTTCAGTTGGAAATGAATTGGTCAGAGGTGCAAGAGAAGGCTGAGATCGCAGTTAATTTGTGGATTCGGAGGAATCTTTCCTTAAAGGGGAGTGTGGAGGTATGTGTTTCACACATCTACCTGATTCTCCTTTACCGACTCTCTGTGCTTCCACTTCCGTCTGACACTTTACTGGCATTAGTGAGGCTCTTGTTTCTCCTTCTTGTGGGGAGGCAAGGCAGCCAGAGTCTCTTGGGAGATCTGTTGCCTTCATCCATCTGAAAGGCAGGTCTAGGTATGCCTAGCATTGAGATTCATCAATATATGCTTTGCATCGGGTTCCTGGATTGAATGTGTCGCGAATCGGATGAGGTGGGCACCTTCTGAAAGGAAGATGCCCGTAAAAACTTCCCATCCTTGAGAAGTGTGCACTCGTGTGGGGAGAAGGCCCACCGTTTACCCCAAGTCAAGTGCTCCTTCTACCATAAATGTCGTCGTGCTTTGAAACGCCTCTTATGGGCATCGGATGGCCTCTCCAATGTTCAGGCGTTGTCTTGTAAGGCATTATATCAGGTGTTAGTTAGGGGAGCTGTTCATGATGAACTGATTGACGAGCTTGGTCTTACAAAGCAGGAGACTTTCTCAATATGGCCTTGGGCGCCCAGGTTGAAATGTCTCAATAACAATGAGGCATCACCCACCTGGCTGGTGATGTGTGGTGTCCTCTGGGTCGCAAAGAGACTTTGTACAGCAGGCTTGGAGAAATATCCAAACTGCTGGCGCTGTAGTGGGGAAGTTGAGACCATTGGTCATGCCTTCTTTCATTGCAGGGTGATAGCACTGTTGTGCAAGTATGTTGAAGGCCTCATGGTTCGCATGCTGCCTGGAAAGTTCTTTGTCCTTGAGGCCACTTCTGTTTGTAGCAATGTGGCCCCACCACTGATGAAGGGTGAACATTATGTGTTCTTATGCTTGCTAGGTGTTATGACAGTTGTGATTTGGATGACACGTCAGAAGGGATTCTATGAAGGTGAGAAGTTCACTTTTTCCCATCTGATCTTATACTTTAAGCATCAGCTTAAGGTTAAGATTAGGATGGAAAAGCGGCGACTCACTTCATCAGAATTTGGCAAAAGGTGGGTGAATCTTGCGTTTTTCTCATGTGAAAGGGGGCTGACCTGGAGTGGCACTTTGATGCTGGTTAGGCATCAGGATATTGCTTTTACCTGGGTTGATTCTTATGGGCAACCCATCCCCAAAATTAGGTTTATTTAGGTTTGGTTTTTGATTTTTTAGTTTTTTTTTTTTTTAAATAAACTTAGCTACTGTAAATACTCATTGGGGGGTATGTATGCTCATTGGTCCTTTTATTTCTGTCCCTATTTTTCTTTAAGTTTAATTCCCCATCCCCTCCCTCGTTAGGTGGTCAGTGATGTCAGTTCTTTGGTGGATGGGGGTTTCGTTTTGTGTGTGTGTTTTCGTATTTTGTTGTTGTGTCTGAATGAGTGCATGTCTGTTAATTTGTGAGTGCTTGGGATGAACAAATGTTTTATTTTATTATAGTCCCACATTAATTTTGTCCAGTTAACTGATGTTTCTGCCACATTTAGTGATTGTAGGGGTTTTTATTACTAACATTATTTTGTTTAGTTTCTTGTAAATAGTTTATTATTTCATATTGTAAATACTCATTGGGGCTAGTTTTTAAAAAATTTTTAAATTGTTGTTTTATTCCCTACCTCCACCACAGACAATATATTGTACATATGGGGACTAGTTAGTATTTTCTATTTATGGAGCAATATAACTTCCAAACAATAAACACACTACACTATAGTTTAAAAATGAAAATAAAAGGAGGAAAGAATGGGTCTTTGTTTTAATAGTGCTGTACTGACTGGTATAGTGATGTGACCATGACAACCAAAAGTGAAGTAGAGAATAAGATTGGCCATAATTAGATAGACCACAGCACTACAGAATTGGAAATGGTTAAATAAATGGATAATTGTAATTCTTGATGAATAAATTCCACATTAATGTGTCTACAAGCAAAATCAGTTGTATGTTTTGAAAGTCAATTCCTTCTTAACTTTTCTTATAACTTGCTTCCTTTGATCCTGAGGGTGTTTCTGCCACTTTTACCTTTGACTTTCTCAGATCAAAAACATGAAAACAATGTGGGTAGAGAAGATTGGTGGGTGGAGTGAGACACTCAGTCAGCGACTGCAGGCATATGGAACTTGAGAGGGTGATGTGTTTTTCTACTAACAACAAGACCACTAGACGGCCAACAAACTTCAAAAAATGACTCCACTTACCTTTCCATTGACAGTAATAGACACACCTGTAACAGCTCCACCATGCTCATAAGTTATGGGAGGAGTGTCGGACCAACCTCCACTCAAATCCAAACGAGCAGGACATTCAGCTTTGATCCAATGATCATAATCTGGTAACATACAACTTTGGAACTCTACAAACTGCAGCAAATAAAATAACATTGAATTAGTATTTCAAAGATTCATGTTTAAAATAAAATATAATTTTATAGAAAAGATTAAATTGTTTTTATATAACATAATTATAAAATACAGAGTAAAGTTTCACTAAGAGAATAATTATTAAAAATATTTGCTGCCATGTTAGAGAGACATGTAAATAAAAGCCTATGAAAATATTACACTGCATCTAATGTATTAATATTATGACTTGAAAAATGGATTAATTGTAGTGAATGTTTGTCTCTCAAATATCTTTGTAAACTATGTGACTGCAAATATGTTGAAAATTGTTTTGAGAAAACCGGTAATTGTTTCAATCACTAACAATTAAATAAAAATCATTAGGCTTTGATTAAATATCTATAAATTTGTTTAGAAATGTCTACACAAACTAAAAAAAATATGGCTGAGATAATGCCAGCAAGTGAGAAAAATTATAGATTCCCTATCATATCTATTAGATTTAGGTTCAATTGTTTTTTCTAATTATGTATTAATTAAAAAGTTTATTATTAATTTCCTAATACTGAAAGATCTAAATTTCCTGTGGATAAAAAGAAATATCAGGAAATTTAAATGGATCTTACTTTTTTACCAGTCATCACAGCATGTCTAATTAAAATCTGTGCAGCTCCTTCATAATGTCTTGATGCTCGAATCAGTAAGTCTGCTCGATGTAGCCAGTCATTTCTTACTTTTGCCAAAGCTTTCACACCTGTAGAAATTTGATTTGCCTGCAAAAATAAAAATTATTTGCATATTTATTTCATGACGATTTTATCTTCATTTATCATTTACATATTTTTTTCCAAAGGAAATTAGAACAAATTAAATTTAGGAAACATATCATGAATAATTTTCATTTTTTGCCTTTAAAGAATATTTATTTATGAAATTAACTTAAAAGATTTCAGTTTAAAAAGAAAATAAACTACTACTAATAATAATAATTTGTCTTTAATGTCTTTTGTGTCCAACAAAAGACATTAAAGACAAATTATTATTATTAGTAGTAGTTTATTTTCTTTTTAAACTTCTCCAAGGTCTGCCAGATTTTTTTCTGAATGTCATGGTGCTAAAACATTCTGAAGTTGATGCTTGAAATAGTAAGTCTGATTTGTACTATCTTATTTTCTGCTAGCTACAATTTAGCTTATTATGTCAAGAGATCCACTTTCTGTGTATTGCTATGTAAATTTGTTAATGGCATCTAGGATATTTCTAACAACTGCCTGCTTTCTAATATATTATTCTATTTTTCACTCTTTCCTGATGAGGTCTAACAGGATTCTTTCCTCTACCCATTGAATGATTCTTTGTTTGAGAGCCAATTTCTTGGTTAAATTCCATGTTTCAGCTCCATAGGTTACTATTGGGAAGATGAACTGGTCATTGTATAATCTTTTCAAAAACAAGTAAGATCTTGTTCTTGAAGACTGAATTTGCACTGGCAAAAGCTTACCAATCTGATTGTTTGCTTGAATTCTTGTTCTGAGAATTTCAATGTGTCTCATATAATGATTTTTGTCAAATTTGATTGTTGTGTCACTGTCTTTTATGTATTCCTTGTACATGAATTAATGTACAAGGAATTAATGGAATTCATGTGAAAATTAACTTCCTTCCTTTCTTCATTGTTAGTATTGTTTGGAGATTTTTTTTTTTTCAAAAATGATGATGTTGGGGGTTATCATCAAATCTGCAGGGATCTTGATCTTCACTATCAATTTTGATTTATCCAATCTAAATTTTGGAAGACGATTTCAGTCCAGTTGTAAATAGTTTGAATGAATTGGTGTTACTTTGGTTTATTCTTTTTTGAAATGAAATTGTGTTGAGTCTTTGTACAGTTTTATGAAGGAGCTACTGTATTTGTTGATGTGTTGTAAAATTTGGACATACAAAATGTTTACACCATCAGGTTTGATTGAATCAATGATTTTGGTCATTTCCACCAAATTGAAGGTATTTTTATAGTTGACAAATGCTGTATTTTTTTAACTTGATTCCTTGACAGGAAATGGTCAATGATTTTCTAATATATTGGTGATGACCTTTGTAAAATCATGCAGACATAGCTGAGGAGACTAATTTAACTGTAGTTGTGAAAGTATTTTTGATTTCTCTTTAGATTGTATTGTTCCAGTCATGTAGAACTTTGTTTGAAAAGTTGGACTAGTTTACTGATGATGGCACATGTCTTTGATTAGATTTGGTTTGGTTTGGTTTGGTTTATGGCATATCAATTTCAATGGGTTATTTAATCCCAACAAGATTTTTATTGCTGGCAATTTTTTTTTTTTTAAATGTATTGCTGCTAATTATTTTTTCTCAAAAAATGTATTGCTGGGAACACCAATAATTAAGAGGTGGTTCCACACTCCTCAAAACCTCCTGATCAGAGGCCTTGCTGTTGGATGTAGGTTATTGTCTTACCCAGGATGTGGATGTAGTTTATTGTCTTACTCAGGATGTTAGTTGATTAGATTATTGATGATGATGATGATGATGATGATGATGATGATGATAACTAGTCTGCCTTTTTTTGTTTGATGATTTACTCTATTTCCAAATAATTTCTAGAAAGTAACCACATTGATGATTCTGGAACATCTTGTTCTGTGATTTGTGGCCTTTATTTTGGGATTGTTTTAGGACTCTTGGACATGATTGGCAATTTGTTTCCAATCTATTCTTAGGTCTCCATTTTCTTTAATCCAACCAGTAATTTGAAATCTTCCAGAGCTGAGATATTATCAAACATTTTGAAAGCCTATTTATTTGATGACTTCCTTGATAATTACTGTTGTGTAGCTTCATTTTTTAGGGATGGCTTTGTTGAACACTATTTCAATCTTTTCTCTAGTTGTTGTTGGTTTGAAATCGCTGAACTTTTTGTAGGATTTTTTCTCTTTCTCTTAAGAATTTATTAGTGATTTATTTGTTAAAATAAAATTATTTATATATCATAGAACTTTTGTTTCAGATAGTGCTATAAGCATGTATATATGAGTTGGTGTTGAAAAGTTCATAGCTAGACCCACTTTTCGAAATTTGACTAAATGAGCAAACATTAGATTTTTTATTGAAAGGACAATAAATTTTTAGGAACTCTTATATGTATACTAAGGTGTAGAAATGTACAAATAACAGGTTAGTGAAAAATAAATGTGAAAATCCTTACTTCAAGCAGATTGAATGCTTTATTCCAAGCTATGTTGGCTGCAGGTCCACTACGCAGACCACCTTTTCCCTTGGCCATGCAGCCCAATAAATCAGCTATATTTGCCAATGTTCTAGCAGCAGTGGCTGGAGTCTGACTGCATTGTATAGCCACTGAAAGAAGATGAAAATATTAAGAATAGATTATTGTCTTCATCTTAATTGGATTAAGTAAATATTTTCTAGCCCCAGATAAAATATGCATAAAATATCTCATTGCATTGAAGTATAAATAAGACAGAATTATCAAATTGCTTTAATCATCATATATTTTATATCTCTCACAAAAATAAAAAAAATTCAGTCCAATAAACCAAGTCAATTCTTTAAAATTGCAAATGCATGCACATATGTTATGTGCACAGATATTTAATCAAAATAATGGATTTACTTTGTGTAATGATAAACAGAGAGAAAAGTAATGTTTAATGTGTCATGGAGAAACATACAACAGAAAATATGATTAACAAAGAAAATGCCTTGCAACAGAATATATTCAAAAGATGACTGTTAGAGATGTTAATGCCATTCATGTTAAAAAGTCAAGAGATATCTAGCATATTAAAAAAGAGCAACGGTACTTCTGAGGAATGATATAACTTGTTAGCAGAAAAGACTGCATCTTAGAAAATGGTGCATTGCAATCTTAATTAATCAGAAAGTATTAAAAAGACAGTGGTATCTAAGTGAACTTAGAATAAAAGCTTACAAAAGCATTGTGATAAGTCAGAAAATGAAGTATCAAGCTGTCACGGTGATTATTATAAACACAAAATTAAGATAATGATGAACTCATCATAGCAGTCTGAACTCAAGGAAAAATGACATGTTTTGTTAAAGCTTCAAAAAGTTAATGAATTTTAAGTTTAACTGAAAAACATAAATATTGCTTAAAAGTAATGTTATAATGCACAAATTTAGTAGCTGTAGATATCCTATATACACTGACTCGAAGTTGCCCATGAGCTATAGTCATAGCTCTCTTTATGTTAATTACCTATTAGCTAAACCAATCTCATGACATCTCCCTGAATCTTTTGGGTTTCACGCCATGCATGGATCTAAGGCTTCTCCTACATTCCTTCCCCCTATCACTGTTTTGATGAGTATTTCTCGTTATGGGGGGACCTTAATCTAGTTTTTTTATTCTCAGTGTCCCATGTTTCATAATCTGAGCCTTCTGAAGAACTTTGATCATCCATTGATTCTTCTGCCTTGCTTTCTGGTTCATTTACATAGTCACATGAACTAGCTTCGCTTAGTGCTTCCTCATAATTTTGGTTCATTTTTAACTGGTCTGCATGGGCAACAATATTTTTACCATTGTGGCATATTAATGCCATGTTGTATCCATTTTGCATTATGAAATTCATCTTTTCCATGTTGTTTTCTTTATTTCTTTTGTACCATATGTTTTCATTAATAGAGTAAGGCATGGTTAATGCAGCTCTGCCCATTAACGCAGATGGACTCTCTAATCTGTCAGCATGTGGTATCATTCTGTAACTCAACTATAATCTTGGTAGGACATTTTCAATCTTTTCTTGCTGAGAAGAAAATGCTTTGAGTCACATCTTTATTCTTTGGACCATTCATTCAGCAATCCCATTTGATTGAAGGTAGTAAGGAAGTGTTTCATATGGGACACAGCCAATCTTCCTTAATCACGAGCATTGACTTTCGACTTTCGTCACAAAATTCAGGAGCATTATCAGTTACTAGTGTTTTTGGTACTCCATTTCTAGCAAATATTATGTAGAATATTTGTTTTACACTAATAGATTTTTTATCCTGAACTCGAAAAACTTCAGGCCAGGCAGAAAAAGCGTCAACCAGTATTAGACATAAACCTACCCTGTTAACTTGTGTGGAATCTATATGAACTCTAGACCATGGTTCTTTTTCCTTAGGTCAAGAGTGTAACTTAATGTGGTGAAAATTCTTTATTTCGGCACATTTAGGACCTCTGCATATGCAATTCTCCACATCTTGGGTGTGTCCCGGCCACCACGCTTCCAGTTTTAACTGATTTTGTGTGGCAGTTATCCCACAATGCACATCATTATGTACACTTTTAATTACTTCTTTTCTATATTTTTCCAGTGGTACAACTAAATCTCCATTACAAATTAGATCATTTTCTATTGATAGTTTGTGTCTGGTTTATTTGTACAGTTTTCTGCATTTGAACAATTACTCCATTTATTGCCCTTATTCAAGATAAAAGTTGACTTAAGACTGGATCTTGTAACATCTAACTAGTCTATTCATGGGCAACACATCCATTTTCACCCAATGCAAGAATTCATACTCAACTTTTTTTATGTTTTTTTTTGCTTTGTTCCTTTTCAAATTGTAGCCGGTTCAATGAGTCTTCACATACTCTATATCATAATCAAAAGCCATTAACTTCATAGCCCATCTTAATATTCTAGATGATGTCACTTTCAACAATTCCTTCCTAGGATGGAATATAAATTCTAAGAGCTTATGATCAGATCTCAACAGAAATTTTTTCCTAATAAAAATTGTCTTGCTCTGATCATACTCTATAAAATTAAAAGTTCTTCCTTTTCGATATTAGAGAAGTTCAATTCAGCTAGTGTCAATGTAATACATCACCAGGTGTCCTTCCTGAGACAAAATTGCTGATACAGACTGGCCACTCACATCTGTGGTTAATGTAATGTTCTTTTTAGGGTCAAAAATCTTGACCAAAGGTTTTTTAGATAGACCTTCTTTTAATTTAATGAAGGCTGTTTGGTGTGTACTAGTTCATTCAAACTCCATATTCTTCTTTCGCAACTCAGAAAACACTTCAATTTTTTCAGAATATTTTGACAAGAATTCTTTTTTATTAGTTGGAGAAGATACATTTAATATTTTTTGTATTAACCTTAGGTCCAGCTAAATACTGTTTTTCTGAAATTTGGTAACCCAAGAATGTTAATGCTTTCCGATTAAATATACACTTATCTTTGTTTATCATCATTCTTGCCTTCCTCAATTTATCCATTACAAATTTAGTTTCTTGTTTCAGTTCTTCAATGGCTGCACCTAAACATATATCATCCTGATAAATTATCATATTTTCTACTCTCCCTGCTAAGAAATTTTCCATAGCTTTTTGAAAAATCGAGCTGGTTGTCTTAGTTCCAAATGGTAAGCAGAACCATCTAAGTAAGCCTATGGGAGAGTTTATTGTGATTTCCTTAAATTCTATTTGAATTTGGTGGTACACATTTTTGAAAACAATTTTCGTAAAATATTTCACTCCTGCCAGAAAATGTAGTATGTTTTCTATGTTTGGAATAGGGTAGGAATCTGAACAAATCTTATGATTTATGCCTACTTTGTAATCTCTGCAAATTTTAAAATCATCATCAGGTTTTCTTAAAAACATTTGCTGCCTTCGGGTTCTACATATTGAAGAATGTCTTCTTCTACCATTTTTTGCAGCATATCAACTACCTATGGCTTTATATGAATGGGAAGCCTATGGCTTTCAAAATATGATGGATAGATATTTGTTTTTAACTTAAGGCTCACGTTATAGTTTTTTAATGTCCCAGTTTCAGGACTTCCACTATTCATAGCATTAAGTAAACATGTGCTATTAATATTTATCAAATCAGTTCCTACTAAACTGTGACTTTTTATACAGTCTGCAACCATAATAGTGATGGTTTCAAATCTATTTTTTGTCTCAAAAGTGCCTTGAAAGGAACCTATTTTTTTATACATGTTTCATCAAACTGTCTTAATCTTACTAAGCTTTTCTTTAATTTTGGTTTCAATAATTGTTCCCAAAAATTCTTCAGAATAAGACTCACTTCACTTGCATTTTTAAGGTTACACTGTCTAATTTAATATTCATGAAGGTATTCTTTTTGTTGCTCCTTTCTGTTGAAAAAGTGTTTGACTTTTTATATTGTCGTGTATTATTTCAACAGCTTTTACAATGGTATCTTACCATCTACATATGACTTGAAAGTGATTTTTCTTTTTGCACTTATTACATGTCTGTCCCATGCTGGACATTTCACTCTCTTTGATTCATGTTTAGTTGTAATATCTGCATTTTATCATTGTTCTTTTTACCGCACACGTGTATAGATTTTTCTGTATTAGTATTTATTTGTTTTTGTACAACTAACTTGAAGATCATTTGTCTTATTTTTACTTTTTGTTTTGCTTACCTAAAGGTATATTTATCAACTTTGCATTTTCTACTCTTGTTTGTTTTTATCAATTGATTAGCCACCCTATTAGTCGCAAAAAGCTAGGCAATGTAAATGATTTGATTGGATCTTTTTAAACAATGACACTTCATGAATGGAGTACATATTTAAATTTTTATTAAACTTGAACAATTTTTTTCAAACAATATTTTCAAAACAATGATATAATTTGTCTATTTCTTTTTTATTGCAAAACTGCATGATAAACAACAGTTTTTGGTTTTCCCATTCAAGGTGTTTTTGTACAAATAGTTTGTTTATATAAAAAAAAAAAACCAGAATAGAGCTGGCTGAAAAATGGTTCCATCAGATGAAGTCCTGTAACTTTAGAACTCAAACCCTTGGGACTTATTGCCAGTTCATTAGCGTAAAGGAAAAGCTCCTGATTTTGAAACATTTTGAATTCAAAAGAAATAAAAATTCTTGGAATTAAAAACTCCAGACTGGAACATTAGGATCTCTGCTTCCAAGAGATGGAAACACTGCATCTTCTTGATAATTAACCTTGTTCCATTATAAAATTTGGAGGATCCAGATTTCTCAATAGCATGTTTAGCTCATTTTCTTTTAGTTGGGGAAGCGCTCTGTGATGACATACCAGGAGGTTTCAATGAGTTCAGGAACTCTTTGGATAATTCAACCTCCTGCTCTTGTTCAATCACAGTGTCGAATGGAAAAGTTCAAAATTCATGAACTTTTCTTTACCAAAAAAAACCATTGGAGTATTTTCAGTTGAATGCAATCGACAGTTTGATTCTTGGGAAGAATATGACCCTCGGTACAAAGCCAGTTTGAATAAATGAATGTATTGAAGGTAAATTGATTTCTACATATTCAGTAGAGCCCTTGGACCTTCC